CTATGGACTACAGAATCTTACCCTTCGTTCCAGCCAGATTACCACGGCCGACGGAAGCTTTCGCAACCACAGTCCTTGCAATCCAGACCCAGATGCCCAGCACCTGCGGTCAAACCCACCTGGCTTTCACTCCGGTTCATACCCTATCAACTAGGGGCACTAGCCTAGACTCTAACACTACAGCCGTCACTACAGAACCTGTTGCTGATCAGGAGGCATTTAAGGAGATCCCTCGTAACTCCTCAAGAATTCTTTAACGTCGCAGACAGGACGACGCGATCAGCAGGTTCTCTCAAAACGTAGACGGCCCGTTCTGCAGCCCACAGCTCAGGTTTCGGGCCTACCGTGCCACACCGAGCAGCCCGCCGGTCAGTACCGGTCCTTGGGAGGATTAGGCCTCCGGGACAGTCGAGTCGTCAGACATAGTCTTTAGCCCTACTCTGCCGGCAGGGGTTTGGTCAACGAAGCCCTATCCTTCATACACGGAGTCCTATCACCTGGACAGAAGAGACTCAACGCAGAACGAAGTACCATAGGGTGAGTGCACATCCATAGGGCGGGGGGATAGGCTGAGGGCTCGGCGAGATTATACCAACTCCAGCTTGGTCAAAATCGTGGTCAGCAGCTCCGGTCAACGCCTTGGTCAACGTGGTCAAACCCCGGTCAACGCTCCGGTCAACCCTCTGGTCAACGCCCGGTCAACCCTCTGATCGGCTATGGCTGCCGGCACCTTCTTCCTCACCAATCTCCCTTCTCTTTCTCCTCCTTCACCCTTCTTCTTTCTCGCTGTTTCTCTTTTTCTTTTTTTTTGTACACCCCCGGCTATGTCTGTCTTCACCTTCGTTTTCCCTCCTTCCTTCTTCCTGCTTCTCTCCTCTCTCCTGTGTTCCGAGCTCTGCGGCTATGGCCGCTACTTCTTCTTGGACCGCACAGCCAATCTTCAGCACAGCAGGTACGTGGTAACCAATCTTGTATCGCTCAGCCCCTCTCTCTCTCTCTCTCTCTCTCTCTCTCTCTCTCTCTCTCTCTCTCTCTCTCTTTCTCTCTCTCTCTCTCTCTCTCTCTCTCTAGCTCTAGCTCTCGCTCTCTCTCTCTCTCTCTCGTTGTTCTCTGTGCAGGTTCGCATCACCTTCCTCCGCAGCCAAGCTATGGCGGACTTCTTCTTCAAAGGTGGTGCACTTCAGCTATGGCGCCCACATGTCTCTCTCCTGCTACAACAGCGATGCGCATGGAGTATCGGGTACCAGCTCCGATACCAGTGCAATCAGACTCGCATACTTCGTCACTTCACATGCATACAAACAGGTGGGGAATCACACTGGCGCATGGCGCCCAACTCAAAGCTCGAAGATATGGAAACCAAGACACAGTTCAGATGTAAGCTCGCTTCAACAGGCTATGGTGCATCAGCACCCACACATCGCAACTCTTGCCACTGTGTCCAACACCACTGTTCACTTCACACTTCAACTCCGGATCACCCTGGATACCCCCAGGCACACACTCTGCACACACACGAATACACACCTATCACTAACCTACGGCAGCTATGGCCGCCAGCTGACACAAATCTACAAGCAGCTATGGCTGCGCTAACCTCTAGCCCACTTCGACTTCAGGCTCCTCTCCAGACCACCTCGCACAAGTCACCATGGTAGCGCTTCCGCATGGCTTCCGCAGGGATCAATGAATGGCTGTGCGCTGCCTCTTGATTTATACTTCTGTAACTCGTTGGTCTGCCCTTTTCCATCGGCCCATGGTACACACAGTCCCCTATGGTACTTGCTGCACTGGACTGGGACTGACTGGACTGTACCGCTGACTGCATGGGGACGCACTGCTAACCTACCGCTATCGTACTGCGAACGTACTGCAGTTGGCCCACCACTTGCCCACTTGCCCACTTGGCCACCTGCCTCAGTGAGCAAGCTGTGAAAGGCCACTTCCAGACCTTCCGGAAGTCTGTGGACTTGGCCTTTTGGGACTGTAGCAGCTACGACCTTGACCTTTCAGGACTGTAGCAGCTACGACTTTGACCCTTCAGGACATCTACAGCTACGACTTCTGGAACTCTCTAAGACCTCTACTCGACAGGTCTACAGATCGAATCCCTATGTCCACACAGTCTTACGACAGACAAACAACAACTCACGAAACACAGGTCAGGGGTTCAAATACTCAGGGGTCAACTCGGTACCGTACATGGGTAATCGACGGAGTCGTTTGGCACCTCATCATCTTGGGGTACTTACACAGTAATGTGTAGGCGCGCAGCTGGATATATGCTGGGAACTCCGCCGAGTATCCGACCAAATGACAAATGTGTCGGTGGTAAGGTCTGGGGATCGAACCCTGGGATCCGCATCTGCCTCTGCAAAGGTGAAAACCGTTTCACTTGATCTGAGACCCACAACTATTTTCACTGTCTGCAGGGGTGGGCCTGGTTGTTCAGCAGCAGTGGTGGTGGTTCAACAAACCCACACAGTCTGAGGTGTGATTGGCTTTAGTCTACAAGAGGACAGTTACTCATTGGGACAGCTGCTGGGGCAGTTACAAAACAGGACAGCTAGATCCCTGTGCTTGTGTTTTTCTCTTTCCCTGTAGAATGGTGATAGCAGAAGTACGCCTTTTTGAAACTAAAATTTTTCCCTGTAGAATGGTGATGGCAGAAGTATGCCTTTTTGACTAAAAAATAAGTGTCTGAGTGGTTTTCCTTTCCAGCAACTGTTTTTCATGCAGCTTCGCTCCCAAATTATTTTGTGTTTTTTTGCTTGCTTTTCCAAATGGGTTGCATAAGACAAAGTTACCTTCAATTGAACGCCAAATAACTCATGGAGTTTCATATAATTCAACTTTTCACGTACTTGTTTTGTTTATGTCTGTATGACAATCAATTGTGTATTGATTTTCATTTCAAATTGTTCTCTAGACTTCTTATGAATATGAGGCGATTGTAACACTGTATATATCGTGCGTGTTTTTGGTAATCCAAGAGCTTGTGTCTTTCTCTGAATTTCAAAAGATTTAATAACGATCGTTATTTTTGCAGTTATTTGTTCAAGTGTGTTTTTGATCGAGAGCTTGTTATATGTCACGAAGTGTTACCTATCTAGTTCTCTGATCACAATATCCTGAGTACCTTTGATAGTAACCACATCTGCGAGCATGTGATGTTTTGATGTAAAATCAAACCCTTGTAAATGACCAAAACCAGGTGATCGGATTTTACAACGGTAAGGACGATTGGTTCTGTTGCTAGTTGAACCGGTACACTTCATGTAAGTTTGTGATGAAAAAGTGGGAGTTGGTTGGTTGGTTGGTTGGGAAACGGATCTCTTTTTTCATCATCTGTTGGCGTGAATGGGCATTGTGTTCGCTTGCTGTTTTGCCAAACTTTCAGGGATTTTCAAATGAACCAACTATCAGGGCCACTTCCCAACTTCGGATCATTGGCGAAACTTAAGCAAATGTAAGTACTGCATACCCTCAAAGACAGAAAAACATATTGAAAATTTATGAAGATATTGTGGTCTGCACTGCACTGTGTAGTGTCGTGCATCGATGCAGTGCACTGATGAACCAAGAACGGGTGTGGAGAACCTACAAAAAATAGAAATCAATTTGAATCATATTCAAAAAGCTGAAGTGATTCATCAGAATTTATCAGCTGTTCTTTGCTTTGCTAGAGTTTTGGCACATTGTCATGGCAAAATGCTGACTGAAATAGAGTTTTGTCACTTTTGTGGCTTTTGCCCCACATCCATTTTTTTTTTTTTTTAAAGAAGGGTGACAACCTTGAGATATCCTTGTCAAATTGAAAGGTCCTAAATAATTCAGAAGTATTTTATTTCATTCATTTAGTTCATACTTGTGGCGCATAGGTGAGGTGCTGTTGCATACTCATGAAACACAGTCATAAGTATGTCGCAGATTCCCAGAACCGACCAGATAATACAGAGTAAGTACAATTACAGCAGAAGACTTGATACACATGAACTGACTCAAACCTGACTCAGACTGCAATCGATCTCTCACAAACATGCATCGGTGGTGTGAAAGCCCTGGCCTTGGACATGGAAGAAAAGGCCAGGGCCTACTCTCATACACAGATGAATGGAGGGGAGGAGAGACGAAGGGAGGAGGAGAGGGAGGATGACGTCAACTCAATGTTTCCAAAAATAGTATCTCAAAATGTCAGAAGTAGCAAAAGTCCGAAATGTCACGAATACAGAGTCTCACAGTGTCTCAGATATCGATCTCACAATGTCAAGATGCATCTCCAGAGGTAGATGAAATCAGATCCCAAAAGTAGTCCTCGACCTGCAGTCTCAATGTTGCTATCTCCAATATCATCAGAACTCGTAACCATCCTTCATACTCGTAGTAGTCGAGTAGGAGTAACCCAATAGTCGACTTAGACCTAGAGGGTAGGAGGAGAGAGAGAGAGAGAGAGAAAGAAAGAGAGAGAGCGGAGGAGGAAGAAGAGGGAGGAAAGGCGAAGCCTTTCTCCCTGGTATCTGGCGATGCAGCTATGGTGCTGCCGGGCTGGGCGCTGGGCCGCGGGCTGGGCCAGAGGGCTGGCGCTACTCCGCTGCCGTGCTAAATCGCGGCTCTGCTATTCCTCCTCGCTGCTGCGCTAATTCTCTCCGCTGCTCTGCTCATGCTAACGCCGAAACACTGCGCTAACCTGTAGACTAACCTCCCCACTGAGGCTGGTACCCAGCTGATATAGTGCTGGGCCGGCCTCAGTACTACTGGTGCCTTCGGGTGTGGACCGTTGGTCAGGCCCAACGGTTCAGATCCGATTCCGGAATCTGAAAGTGAAGTGGCGCATAAACTGCTCCGCCGGCCGGTCCTACCGATGGACCGGTACCTGGCCTAACCCAACTAGCCGTTGGGTCTGGTGGGGTCTAAACTAGGCCGACCGGACTCTAATCTGAACCGACGGTTCCTAGGCCTACCTGGACCTGGCTGGGACCGTCGTGACCCGGTACCTAGGCCTAGCCCGTGCCTACTACAGAACCGGGCCCTAACTGGGGCCCTTGTGGTATCTGTATGCCGCACATTCCCCCCCTTGAAGACCGAGCTAACTGCGAGGGTGAAGCTGTCTGTCCGATGTCCGTACGGGACGGGCGGGTTGAGCAGCTTCCTTAGCAAGTCGCTGTTTTTCATAATGCGCGTAGATGAGGGGTGTTGTCGCCTTCAGGTCAGCTCGTGAAATCCAGTGTGTGTCGTCGGGATCGCATTGCTTGAATGTAACTTTGTACTGCATCGGCTTGTTGTCGTGCTTGCGATGAGCAAGGACACGGTCGACCTCCTGGTGACCGTCCATCGAAGGAGGGTCGTGGGACCGTCTGCCTGGGAATTCCGTTCGTGAGGCTGGAGTGTAGACCGCCAACTTCGAAGTGTGAAATACAGGGTGGACCGTCATATGCGGGGGAATCTCGATTATGAAAGAGGGACCTGCAGGGTCGTCGCCAGCTGCTGAAGTGACCTTCCATGGCCCAAAGCACTTAGGGAGGAGCTTGTGCGAAACATGCTGCTCGAACGCAAATTCCTCAGAGGTGACCCAAAAAAGGTCGCCAGCGTGGATTGGACATGGGATGCAACGCCGGTTCGCTTGCTGCTGTATACGGACCTGAGCCTTTTGCATATTTGCGCGGGCTTTGGCCAGCAGATCCCTATACTTCCGTGTAGAAGCGGGGGTGCAAGCGGTGTCGATATCGGCTGCCCGTGGAAGCAAAATGTTTGTGAAAATATGGCCTTTCCGCCCACCGTGATGCAACTCGAATGGAGTCACGCCGATCGCCGGGTGCACCGAAGTGTTATAGGCGAGCGCGATGTCGGGAAGACGGTCAACCCAGTCCTTTTGCGCAGTCTCGTGCGGAGCATCATCTGCGCAGTCTGGTGTGCATGTTCCATTTGCCCTTCTATTTGAGGATGTCGTGCAGAACTCAGTTTCATGCTGGTGCCGGATTCCACCATGAGTGTTGTCCAAAAGGCTGACATGAAACATTTGTCGCGGTCGCTGACGATGTCTTCCGGAACATCGTGGCTGCAAAACCAGCCGGTATGCAAAAGTCGTGCGAGCTCGAGAGTTGTCGCGTGATACTTGCATAGAAGAAATCGAGCGTACTTGCTCAAACGGTCGACGGCCGTGAGAATACCATCATGGCCAAGGCGATCGTGAGGGAAAGGACCGGTCACATCCATAGCAATGGAGAGACCTGGTTCCCGTGGAATCGGCAATGGTTTCAGTTCGTCGTATGGGAGCTGATGGCGCCCTTTGTTGCGATGGCAAACTGCACATGACTGAATGTACCGGTTCACGTCGCTGAGGATGTCTGGCCAGTGAAATCGTTGGCGGAGTCGTGCAAGTGTGCGTGCGACACCAAGGTGTCCCACGAGCCGTGAATCGTGGTATTCGCCAAGGAGGCGAGTGCGCAAGATGCGGTCTTGGGGAACACACAACAAATCCTTGCCTCACATATGGAGAAGCAAGTAGCCGTCAACAATGCGATAATTGCTTGCCGGCGAGTGATCCGATGATAAGTCCGCGTAGAGTGTGGAGAATCCCGGATCCGTCTTATAGCCATTTATGGAATGTTGTTGCAGGTCCTCGTCGAGGCCGAATGTGGAGTGCACCAAGGCGCAAAGATCGGGTCTTCGCAAGAGAGCATCCCCTGCCTTGTTTGAGAGGCTCGGAATATGCTTGGAGGTGAAGTGGAACTGGTCAATGAAATACATCCAGCGACCGATCGTGCTGCTCACCGTGTCTTGCGTCTTGTAATAAGTCAACGAATTATTGTCCGTTGTCCACGTGAATCGTCAACGCCCGAGGAGAAACTGACGCCAACGCTGAAGTACCGGGACGAAAGCTAGTAGTTCCTTCTTCCTCTCATCATCAAGGAAATTGATGGGCGGCACCTTTTGGTTGAAGTAAAAGTGAGGCCAACGCTTAAGTACAGTGACGAAAGCTAGCAGTTCCTTTTTCCTCGCATCATCAAGGGAATTGATGGGCGGCACCTTTTGGCTGAAGTACTCAACCGGGTGCCAGTATGTGCCGTCATGTTGTTCCAGAACTGCGCCAATGCTGTGGCCGAAAGCATCCGTAGTTACTTTGGTTGGCAAGGTCGGGTCATAGATGCTCAAGACGGGATCTTGAAGCAAGGTCGTCTTCAGCGTATGGAACGCGTGCCGGACTTCGTCGTTGAACTCGAAGGGCACCAAAGGGGACTGAAGTTGCGACAATGGTGTAGCGATCCGTTGGAAGCTCTTGACCAAGCGCATGTAGTATTATGCTAAGCCGATAAAGGAGCGGATGTCGGTAGTACACACGAGGTCCGACCAATCTTGAATGACTTGTACTTCGTCCGCGAGCGGACGAATGCCTTGCGACGTAACATAATGGCTCAAGTACTCCAACTCTTGCTGGGCAAACTCGCACTTGTCGCAGTTTGCCTTGTTCTTGGCGATACGGAGCCGCTCCAAAACGGGGCGAAGGTGCTCGAGGTGCTCGTCCAGCGACCGGCTATAAACCAAGATATCATCGAGGTAAATGAGTACGGTGCGGTCGAGCAGGTCGCGGAATTCTGTCATCATAACCGCTTGGAAAGTAGTCGGGGCATTGGTGAGACCGAAAGGCATGACGATCCACTCAAAGTGCCCATACCGCATCTTGAACGCGGTTTTGTACCGATCTCTTGGCTGGATCTCGATCTGGTGATAGCCGGATTTGAGGTCAAGCTTTGAGAAGTACTTGGCGCCGCCTAGTCGCTCGAGGAGATCATCGATCCGCGGGGGAGGGCCAACGTTCTTGATCGTTTGCACGTTAAGTTTTCGATAGTCGATACACAAACGACGGTCCTTGTTCTTCTTCCAGACGAAGAGAACAGGAGCACCGTATGGCGAACAGCTAGGGCGAATCCAGCCCTTGGCCAAGAGGTCGTCTAGTTGTGCCCGAAGCACTTGAAGCTCCTCTTCGCTCATGTGGTAAATACATCCGCGCGGAGGTAAGGCGCCGTCCTCGAGAGTGATCCCATGGCGTATGGGCCGATCCGGTACTACTCCCACAGGAGCTTGGAAGACATCCTCATAGTTGTCCAAAAGCTCAATGATGCGTGGGTCCGATGTGTCCGTCTTGGGCTGATCACCGGGTGGGGGGGCGTGAAGAAAACACATGCCCATCTCCTCGATGTCGTGCTGGCTGATGGATTGGCGAATGCTCCCCACGGAGACCACGTGACAACCAATCGAAGGATGAGGAAGCGGCATCGTGCACAGGACTAGTTCGCCACACCGATCACAAACGTGAACGGTGCGTTGGAAGAAGTTTACCGGATGGTCTTCGCTTTGCAGCCACGACATGCCGAAGATCATATCGAACTTAGTGTCCAAGATGTCGAATGACACGGCCTCACATGCTAGCGGGGCAAAAGACACGGGCACGGAGTCAAGTGGTCAAATTCCCGAAGGCGTATTCGACAACCTAAGATAAAGCTTAATATTAAGCTTGAGGATCTGAACTTCAGAATCGCATCTTTCCCCGCCTGATTCTACCAAGTAACGAGTGGGATATGCACTTTCCTCTCCATCTCCCTCATTTTCACTTTGTCTCCATCGCCTTCGTCGTCCACGTCGTCTTCTTCCTCTCGAATACAGCACACCCTTACCGCTCATGGTCTGATAGTAGTTGGGGCGGTCAAGAACTGCTAATCAAAGCCTGCTTTGAACTTATACTTGCCATGCTCACACGGGGCCATGCTAATCTTTTCTGTATTGTTCCAATTTTAACGGATGTCCCGAGGGAATGTGCCATGGCCTATGGATAGTGATTCGAGTTATCAGCATTGAAATGGCCAGCTCCAGGTCATTCAGAATGTATTTTATTTATTTATTATTATTATTATTATTATTTTATTTCTTTATTCCTCTGACCACACCTGAATTCCGAACTTGGGCCCGTCTTTCAACAATTGATGGGTGTACTAATTGAGCTAGGCCCATTGGTACTGTCAATTGCCTTGGGATTGGTACCAGCCTACTGCAGAGGTTGCCTCTCAAGGCTACAGCCCGGGGAGCAACCATGCCCTGAGATTTTCAATCACCTGCACATGGCCATAACTCACACAACATGCCCCCACAGATGGATGACACTGAAGGGCGCGACCTATGCTCTTTGTCGTGGCTATTCCGACTCCGCCACTGGTAAGAGGATGCAGGGCCAGCCGCACAGCGTGCAGCGTGAGCCCAGGTGAAACAGGTCCCGGTGCAAATCTTCATGGTAGTAGCAAATGTTCGAATGAAAGCTTTGAAAACCGAAGCGGAGAAGGGTTTCATGTGCACAGCTATGCAGTCTGCACCGCTGTGGACCTCCGTACCGTGCCCTGTGCCGCTCCGTCCGGACACAGTTTGCATCTTTCTGGTCCCAACTGGCATGCTCACACTCAAAACCCCTTTCTGCAGATCGCGGGTGGCGGACAGCTGCCCTGCAGCAAATCATGGTTGGCGGATGGTGGTTCCCGCCACTTGATTTCTTTTGCCTCGTTGGCTATGCACCCACCAGTTGGCACATACGTTGACTCCTTGGCCCGCGTCCTGGACCAGGCAGAAATAGAGAGACTTTACCATCCCCCGAAGTGCGTAGTCAAGCTAGCCTGCTCTGTATCACTCCAATTCTTAACGAATGTCACAAAGGACCCAGGCCCGTATTTTTCAACAGTTTCGGGGTGCACGAAATGTGCGACGACTGCTGGCCCTCCCACACAGCGCCGACATCAATATTGGTGCTGCGTCCCAGAAACAGGGACCGACAACTAAGAAAGGAAAATAGAAATAAAACTAAACTTCAAAATACGAACATCAGGGACCGCTGCTTTGGGGAGGGAGGCCATCGGTGCCTCCTCTCGGTTCTGTCAACCGGGCCCATGGATGGGCCAGCAACAAAACCAAGGGGGATAGCCCTGTCAGGCCCTCAACCCCTTGGCATCTTCAACCGCTCTAATGCTCCATCGCGTCGGTCGCTGCCCTCGATCCCGGTACCTCTGCTTTGAAAGTCTGTCACCGTAACCAATAATACTAGGTCCAAGGTTGATCTTAGACTTAGCGAACACCTATGTAAGTGGGTACCATGCAGCGAGCGGATCCACTGAAGCATTCCAAAGCCACACCCTGGCCTGTCAACTAGGCCCAAGGCTGACCTTAGACTTAGCGAACACCTATGTAAGTGGGTACCATGCAGCGTGCGGGTCCACTGAAGCATTCCAAAGCCACATCCTGGCCTGTCAGCTAAGTCCACGGTTGTCAACCTTCGGTGTCCATCGCGCGGAGGTCCCTACTTTGCGTTCTATTTTCTCTCGCATGCTCCAATCACCGCCTAGAAGCAACATTACGGCCTAATGACGTCTTCCGTACGAGCGCACACACATCATGGTCACTTCGACATAGAGAAAAACTCTTCCTAGTTTTAATTAAAGAGAATCAAAAGTTTGTCGGCGGGAACGCCGATTCTATGACATCAAAATAAGAATCATCACGCATGCCTCAAAATTGCGCGCCCACACACTCTCTACTTTCAGTCAACCATTCAGTCAGCGTGAACAAAACGCAACCGCGACTTCGCACGGTGTATTCAAATTTTGAACAAAGCTTATTTTTTGTCACTTGCAAAAACCAGGGCGGATACCCTTGTAAGGGTATTCGCGCCAACAGATTATCGGACCTTATTTAGCGACGCCCCCGTCGCTTTGAATGATCAAAAGCTATCAATTCATCCATAACTCCAGATGCTGACGAGAAAAGTTCCAATCCGATTTGCCGACCGACTCCGTTTGAGTGTCTTACCAGATAGTACCCGACATGGCTAGTTGTTGCCAGGGCTCCAACCTGGGTCTCCTGCGAACGGAGGTGTACTAGATCAATACTACAACTTAAAGTTCATGTTGAGTGGTTGTCGGTAATCCTCTCCCTTTGTCCTAGACATCTGTCGGCTTATCGTTGGGTGTCCTGTTTAGTCATCGTCCCGCGTACGGGTCATAACTCAGGATGTGGGCCCTAACAGAGACCTTTTAAAGGCATTATCGCCTTTCTCACAAAATATTCACAAAAATATATAAGTTTTATCGGAGATCCCTCCTGCAGTCTAGTATAGGAAGGTCAAGTCTCCATCTTGGCCCACCATAGTCTAGTTTATCGAGCCAGATCTACGGCCCGCTGCGTTGTTATATTAGCGTCAGTGCCCTTGTTGGTTGCGCAACGTTAGGCAATCTTTCCTAATAGAAACTGTATCAGTATTTTTCCAAAAAAACACGACAGACTCGACTCTTATCCCTCCGACATCCCGCAGGAGTAAGACTATCCGAGGCGACCACACCCCTCAAGCCTTACCCTTTGGTGAGACGTGGGCCCGCTGCCAGGTTGTGCCGGTCAGCAGCCAACACTGGGGGTTGCGCCCCAGTGATGCCAGTTTAACCCCCAGCTGGGTCTCTCATATATACCTTAAGATTAACATTATAGTGGCTGGTCGGTGTGTCGCAATAAACTCAGGCCTATTGCGGGACTGCACAGAGGTCCGTTTTACTCAAAAGGTATTTACCAGTTCTCTATGGGACAACACAGAGAGTCTGGCGTCCTTTTCAAAATCCACAAAAAAATCACCGCCAGATTCACAGGGCCGTGGCCTCCCACTTGATCAGAGTAAAGCAGACCACACATCTTACAGACATATCTCAAATTTCACCAATTTGCGACCTTCCAAAATTTCACCAATAAATAACCAGTTTCTTGGTCTTTCTCGTCAGACTTTATCATCCAAACTGCTTACCATGCCATTTCAAATCATTTAACCACCTTCCACTTTTGAGGGGGAATCACTCATAAAATCTCACAACCACCTCCCTCATGGAGGAGAGTTAACCATAAGACACTCTCTACTAAGAGACCAACTTGTGGGTCCTCACCTCAACTGAACAAATAACATTCGGCATGGACAAGCGTTTGAGTCTCAAAAGACTCCTAGATCCCTTGGGATTTTCATACCCTTTCCACCAAACGAACTGCGCTCCCCCTTCTTATACTCGACCCTATCGTCTGTCCGTAGGCAGATCGCGCGAGTATAACGAAGAGTAGACAGTTTACACCTTTCACATTCACAAAACACACGAGATGTATTATGTGCATCTTTCACACAAAATCATCATACATAAGGAAAAGTCCACACATGGGAAGTGATTGTGATTGCCAAACAAAGGAAAAAAGATAGTCTGAAAGTTTTCAAGTCTCAATATACACTTAGAGATGGGATATCCCAACTCAAAAACCTGTAACAAAATAGTCTCAATGGAGGAGCAATCGCGCCCCTCAACTCAAAGGAAACCAAGTAAACCCAAAATATATTCCAGTGCCTAACAAGTAAAACAAGGCCCAACATGCCTTAATCAATCAAATGCTTAAGGCGACCTCGGGTCAGAACTTGAATGCTGCGTATATTTCCCCTCAGGGACCACTATCAAAGTTAAACTAGTACTTCTGGTAAGATCACGTCCTCAACGTGATTACTTAGTGCACTCAAGCCTATACTCTAAGTCATACCCTCCACAACTCTTACCCTCAGCGACCCACACTCGCGCTTGTACCATGATCACACTGCCCATTCTACCCTAGGGTAGACAATAGAATCTGAAATGAAGATTTCCAAGTGATTTTGTAAACTCTCAGGATCTAATCATATATACATACACACTCCGGAATGCACACCTACTCTAATTCATACAGTATACAACTAAGATTCTACCAACTACGTATGGAGTTGGGGCACATTAACGGTCAGTCCGCTATCTTAGCTTCTACGTCAGTGTATATACAGTTGAACTTACTAAGAAAAACAACCCCAGATGGCCCTACGACAAACCTTTAGACTGAAATCTCCTAAACACAGGGATCGGGGTCAATCGTATTGCATGTCACTATTCCTTCTTTACCCTGGTCCTTTTTTTCCTTTCCTACAATCTCCGGTCACCTCACCCATCCTCTTTTCGTATTCTTGACCACCGTGCTTATTCCCATTCGCCACCTCGACTGCTGCCATTATGCCCCTTTCTTTTTTGAATTCTACTTATGGTTTTGCTGACGCACATCGCGACCTCCAGCGCCTCGCCTTTCGCCTTCACGGCCTCCATTGCCACCATGTCTGCCATTCCTGCGACCTCTTCCAATACCTTGCCCTCGACCTCCCTTGCTTGCTGCACTGCCCTGTGACGCTTGCTGTGCTGGTGGATGGGGC